GCAAGAGCAACAGCTGTTACCGCAGCAACAGGAACAGTTACAGCAGCAAGTGCAAGAGCAACAACAGTTACAGCAGCAACAGGCACAGTTACAGCAGCAAGTGCAAGAGCAACAGCTCTTACAGCAGCAACAGGCACAGTTACAGCAGCAAGTGCAAGAACAACAGCTCTTGCAGCAGCAACAGGCACAGTTACAGCAGCAAGTGCAAGAGCAACAGCTGTTACAGCAGCAACAGGCACAGTTACAGCAGCAGCAAGTACAAGAGCAACAACAGTTACAGCAGCAGCAACTGCTACAACAGCAGCAACTGTTACAACAGCAGGAACAATTACAGCAGCAACAGTTCCAACAGCATCAGGAACAGCTACAGCAGCAGCAACTACTGTTGCTACAGCAGCAGGAACAGTTACAACAACAGTTGTTGCAGCACCAACAACAGGCACAGTTACAGCAGCAGCTCCTGCAGCAGCAGCAGGCACAGATACAGCAGCAGCTATTGCTGCAGCAGCAGCAGCAACAGCAACAGCTATTGCAACAGCAGCAGCAACAGCAACAGCTATTGCAACAGCATCAGGAACAGCTACAGCAGCAGCAGCCTCCTCCACTGGAGCCAGAGGAGGAGGAAGAGGTGGAACTGGAGCTCATGCCAGTGGACCTGGGGTCAGAGCAGGAGCTGGAGCAGCAGCGGCAGGAGCTAGAGCGGCAGCAGGAACTGGAGCGTCAGGAGGAGCAGCGGCAGCTGCAACTCAAACTGCAGGAGCAGTTGCAGCAGCTGGAGCAACAGTTGGAGCAGCAGCAGCTAGAGCAGGAGCAGCTGGAGCAGCAGGAGGTGCAGCTGGAGCTCACTCCCGTGGAGCTGGGTACTCAGCAGCAGGAGGTGCAACTGGAGCTGACCCCTGTGCAGCCTGAACTGCAGCTGGAGCTGGTTCCCGCTGCAGGGAGCAGCACGGCGACTGTCCCAGGGGCTCCAGCGGCTGTTGTGGTGGCCCCCCCAGGCTACGTGGTGCTGCAAGAGCTCATGGTGCTGCCCGCAGTGGCCACGTCAACAGTGGTGGCCATCCCGGGCCCAGCGGGCAGCGCCGCGCTCACTCCAGCACGGCAGCGGCGGCGGCGGCGCGCACGAGACCGGCCGACCATCTGCGGAGAGTGCGGCAAGGGCTTCAGCCGCAGCACGGACCTTGTGAGGCACCAGGCCACGCACACCGGCGAGCGGCCGCACCGCTGTGGTGAGTGCGGCAAGGGCTTCTCGCAGCACTCCAACCTGGTGACACACCAGCGCATCCACACGGGTGAGAAGCCCTACGCCTGCTCGTATTGCTCCAAGCGCTTCAGCGAGAGCTCAGCTCTTGTGCAGCACCAGCGCACGCACACTGGCGAGAGGCCCTACGCCTGTGGCGACTGCGGCAAGCGCTTCAGTGTCTCCTCCAATCTGCTGCGTCACCGGCGCACACACTCGGGCGAGCGGCCCTACGTGTGCGAGGACTGTGGCGAGCGCTTCCGCCACAAGGTGCAGATTCGCCGCCACGAGCGCCAGCTGCATGGAGCTGGCCGCTCGCGTGGCCTTGGCCTGCTGCGGGCCTCGAGGCCGGCGCCGTCTACTGGCCCATCGCGCGCCCAGCAGGCCTCCGGGGCCACAGCATCCACCAACAAGGCTTCATGATGCGGGTGCGCATCTCTGCAACAGAAGGCAGAGGGCCAGGAGCAGGAAGGGGTCAGCCTGGAAGCACGGGGCATCCAGGGCGGGGAGGGTGCTCTTTCAAGCACCCTCCACATGAGTGGAGGGTGAGAAGCCCCACATGGAGTGGGATGGACACCTCGACCCCAGTTCGTGGTCATGACCCCAGTACAACATCTCCCGGATCATCCTGGAATATCCTTGGGAACGAAAAGACTACCATCATCCCCCATATTCCCTGAGAAGTGCCAGGTTCACAGATCCACCCCCAGAAATCATCCACAAGAGAATAGCCACTGTGGCTAAAACAGCATCTGGGGAAACCCATGAGCGAGAGGGCTGCCAAAAATTTTCCCAAGAAAATTGAACTTAGTAGAAACAAGAACCGCCTGAGAATACTCCCCAGGACAATTGAGGATGTTTGACGTGGACCAAACACTCACCAGGGAATAAAATAAATCTGGTGAGGCACACACGGAAAATAATGGATCCTGGTGAAAATTATTTAAAGGAGGAAAAAAACAGGGAAAAAATAAACTTACCTGCACTATGTAGGAAACTGATTAAGGCATTGAATTGTCCTCAGTGGCATTTGCCTTGAAAATACTTGCCAGTATGAAAATCTATTGAGCTGAATACAATTCTGATGAAAATACCTGTTTTCATAAACACAGGGTCACAGTGTCTATGGGGTCAATGTGCAAATAAGTGCCAGGAAGTCTTGCTCTGGGTGGAAGGTAAAACCTTTCCTCCCTGGGGAACCCAGAATTGGAGCAGGTGTTAGAGGCAGGTTCTAGGCCTCTGCTGCAATGTTCTCAATCCACCGGAGGCCCCCTTTAATATTCCCTGGAATAGAGAAGCCTGTAGCTGAAACAGAGCGCATTCTGGGAGGGCTCTCCAAGGTCTGGAAGAATCCTCCCCAGGAAAGATCTCCAAGATAGCCCCACCCAGCCAAGCTGCTCAGATGCTGCCCAGAGGTTGACTCCTTGAGACCTGGGAGCAGAGATCTCTTGGATCAGGATAAGGGGAGGGGCACCTGAACAGACCTTGCCTTCTGGCCCCAGGATGTGTGAAGAATGTTGGGGACAAAGATTAGGAAGAACAGAAAGGTTATTTACCATGTTTACCAAATCGTCCAGGGCAGGGGCTGTATGAGCAGTAGCAATTGCTGATTCCTCATGGGAAGGTGAGCTGGTGGAGGATGTCACTGGCCACCTCTGGGCTTGAGGCTCTTCCTGGCCAACCTGACTTCCCACATGGCTGCTTAGTTCCTGCCCCTCTCTCCCCTCCCTGCTTCTCCTTTACTAACACAGCCTGCCACATTTTACACATGTGTTGGTAAGTGAGAAACAAAACATAAAAAATAAAGTGAAGAAACACAGTGTCCTGTCTTTGTGATTTCACCTCTGGATTTTGTGTCTCCCCTCAGGTCTTCATTTCTAAGGAAAAATTGCCTGGGTATTCTAGAGCAGGAACTTAGTATTCATTCTCTTTGCCTAGTACTCCCCCAGTCCCTTCCTTCCACCTGTGTCCCTTGGCCAGAGAATGGGCCTATTCAGTAAAACCCTCATTGGAAGAGCCAGTTTCAGCATTTTGTAAGGACAAGCTTTATATCGATTCAGCCCAGTTGCCGTGTGGAGTGCTGGGATGATGGTGAGAGCTCACTATTGGATGGCCACTTGGAGAGGGGTCATGAGACTGGGGGTCCCCTCTCAGTCCTGAGAGTCTTTAATTCTAAGACTTAACCAGTCAGATGCTCTCAGAGTTTTTGGTCATTCTTGTGTCTCACTGGCTCCCCGCTTTTATCTCCAACGGTACACATCCTCAACTCTTTTTTTGGGAAGATGACCTTTGGGCTTCTGGAATCCCTTGATTCTATCTATATAGAAAAGCTAGCTATCCCTTTGAATTGCCTTCTCTTTGGGGGCCCTTAGCCCATTAAGATGGTATGAGGGGATAAGCCAAGCTCTTCTGCTTCTGGTCAGGATGGCAGGGAGGAGTGACTCACATGAAGTTTGACGGCAGGATCTGATCAAAGGATACCATATTGGGAAAATTGTTATTGCAAAGCCTGGAATTGGTAGGTTTTGCTGGGTACAGTTAATTCCATGATGGAGGGAAATGAGAGGTTTGAGTCCACAGATGTCATTTAAAGGCACATAAGGACATGAAGAAGGCCTCTATGCAATATTTAAAGAAACCCTATGTGCAAGGCCCTGGTTCAATCCCCATCTCCATAAAATAGAAAAAAATCCTCATTTCCTTTAGCTAACGGCAGGTTCCTAAAGACCAGACACAGGGCCTATTGCAAGAGGTTGCAAGAGCAGAGAAACTTCACAGAGGGCTGGACCAGACTCACATCAGGGCCCTGATATAGAAAGAGTGGGTTCCTTTAGCTTGGATTGATGAGCCCCAGGTCATGTGTTTGAAGTCAGTGAGTCCTGCAATTCCCCCAACCCAATGGGCCTGCAGATGTGGCCATTTTCCTTTGCATTTGTGTCCCTTGCCTTGTCTGAAGACCTTGCAGAGGTCTCATTGAGGTAGATGCCTTTCAGGGTGATGCTTGCGTTCCTTAAGGCCTGCCCCACTTCTCTTCCTGGCGATGAGACCTATAACGGGGTTTCTAGCTCTAGTGTGGTCTGGCTTGGGGAGGACCAATTCTGTAGAGGGAGAGATAAAATTATTCACCAAGGGAGCTGTAAGATCTGGCTGTTATATACCTGCAGGAACCAAGAAAGCATGCCCTAATGGATACTCCCCTCATGAAGGAGCAAAGGAATGTGCAGGGGAGAGGCACTGGCCTCACCAGGAAGCTCAGCAGGGGCTGTTTCCTGTAGATAGATCAGGGCTGACACTGGAGGTGCAGTCATGGAGCTGGACTCCCTCATGTCAGTGGGTATAGCAGAATCTTGGGCTAGCAGGGGGCCAGCTGTAGTGCTTAACCACCAGGGGAAAAATGGACATGACTGATGAAGTGGGAAGTAAGGTTGGAATGGCAACCAGAAGGCTCAGATGCAACGGAGGTGTCTGTGGTGGTGAGTAGTGACCATGGTGTTCCCAGGGGGTGGAGAAACGATCAGTCAACTAGGGTATTGCTATATATATCCCCCACAAAAAGGTCAAGTGGTGCCCTTGAAGGCCACTGTTAGTTTCCCTAAAGGAAAGTCATGATCTCTGGTCTCTTTCCCAGTTTCTAGATCTGAGCCAGTTTCTTAGATCCAGAGAAGTCAGGACCTTAAGGAAGGACTTTATGATTCCACTGCATTTGGTGTATATGGATAGCAGTGATTTTCTCAGCCCTCTTCCAAATGGACCTAGAGCCACTTACCCAAGTAAAGGTCATCAAGGGGATGGGACACCCAGATCTTTCCACCAGGGGCCCTGACCTCACCAGGGTGACGATCTGAGCCACCCCCTCAGACCAGTCCCCTAAACCCAGTAGAAGTGCCAAAGGCAGAGCATCTAGAACAAAGTTATTGGGCAGATGAGGAGTATCGGTTACGGCCTCGGGGCCATCTACAGCTTCGGCAGGGACTAGGGCATACAGACTGCCCCTTCTTTGATATGTGTTCCTCATGTGGAGTGGAATCGACATGAGATTGAGTGGTTGTATGTGAGGCAAACAGTGGTCTGGAGCCAACATTGATTCTCAGCCCACATCTTTTTGGATGGATCCTCTGGATGGATGTGTGGGTTCCCCCCACCCCTGGCCTGACTTCAGGGAGCTCAGCTCCCAGCAGCCAACACCTGAAGCTCTTGCCCTCATGCAGCACCAGAAGTGCCTGAGAGTAGATCTCCCCGCAGTAGGCCTGAACAAACTGGAGTGTGGGCCTGGGAAAGCCAGCTACCTCGCCTGAGGTCGGGACAACATGAGGGTATTACTTCTGCTCTGGTACAAGATCAGGTTCCCTTGGCAAGACTGCCCGAGCCTCTCCCCCTTCCTACTCTGTGTCCCCTTCTCTTACTACCCTTCCCTGGCTGAGTTATCTTGATTAACTGCTTGCAGAAACTGTCTTCTTAGGTCTACTTTTGGAGAATGTGACTTAAAATGGGGTACATGGGCAAAGTCTGGTCTTAGGAGAGAGAGGAAGAGCCTGGCTTGCTGCAGGTGAAAGACAGGCTGGCTCCAGGTGTGGCGAGCATTCACTGACGAGTCCCCAGTGGGAGAGAAAGACACAGACAAATAACCATGGGCATGGAGCAACTGATGGTTGTGGGGAGCCAGGGAGCCTCCTGGGAGAATCTAGACTGGCCAGAGGTGTTCGCAGGTGAGAACTTAGGGATTGGAGAGGAGAGGGAAGTCATACGTGTGCCGAGGCTCAGAGAAGGACATGGAGTGGTTAGGGACAGTGTTTCTGGACAGCTGGAAGGTGGTCTCTGGGAGAGAGGGAACAAAATGAAGAGGTGAGCTAAGCAGGGGCTAGGTTTTGTGGTAGCACATGATTTTCAAGCCAAAGGGGGGTGTTCAATCCTGTTGGTATTTCCTATATTTTGCTCATTTGCATATTATTTGTATTATATCCATCTTTGTGACTGCTGACTTATTTTTCTTAAATGATTAATACTGTTACTGAATGATTGATTGATTGGGGGCAGGGATTGAACCCAGGGGAACTTAACCACTCAGTCACATCCCCAGCCTTGTTTAATTTTTTATTTTGAGTCAGGGTCTTGCTAAATTGCTTAGGAACTTACTAAGTTGCTGAGGCTGGCTTTGAAGTCTTGATCCTTCTGCCTCAGCCTCCCAAGTTACTGGGATTACAGATGTTCACTACCATGCCTAGTGATATTGTTCTTAATAGATACGTTTAAAATAGAAACTGTTTCATTATAAAGGGAAGGCCAGTTGAGTAGCCTAAGCCAGCTATGTTTCCCAGAATTCCCTTTTAGAGTTCTAGTTAAGGTCAGCCACATTGGGATGCTTGCTGTGGGCAAAGAGAATACAGACTAGTTTTGGAAGAATATAATAATAAATGTCATCTATGACCAAGTGACCAGTTGCAGAAATGAGGGCTGTAATTTTTACATCCTTATTTTTATATAAATCAATTTTTTATATTTTAATCAATTTTTATCTTTCTCCCATTTCCTAAACATATAACACAAAATGTACTAATCTTGGCTAACTTTGTTTTTATTTATTTACTTATTTTTTGAGATGGAGTTTCACTATATTGTCCAGGCTGGCCTGAAATTCCTGGGCTCAAGGAATCCTCCTGACTCAGCCTTCCAGCCTTATAGATGGAACTATAAGCATATAGTTCCACACCTGACCAACTTTACATGTCAGTATTTAAGAAAATTTATTTGTGTTGGGTGGTCCACACCTGTAATCCTACCAACTTGGGAGGCTGAGGCAGGAGGATAGCAAAGCCAGCCTCAGCAAATTAGTGAGAAACTGTCTCAAAATAAAAACAACCATAAAAGGGTTTGGGGATGTAGCTCAGTGGTAAAGTGCTCCTGGGTTCAATCCCCAATACCAACATTTTTTTTTTAATTTAAGGGATTAAATTAAATTAGAAGCCAGATGATATTACCCAGTGATACATAATGGAGCTTTGTATTTCCTTGGGGGAAAGAATCAGTGTGGTTTGGGTCATATGAAGGTGGTTGTACCATGTTAGGTGGGCTGTTGTCTTTATTTGGAGTTTATGTTTTCAAAGATTTTTTTGTGGGGGGGAAGGACGGGCAGTACTATAGATTGATGCCAGGGATGCTCTACCACAGAGCAACATCCTCAGTCCTTAAATTTATTTTGAAACAGGGTCTCACTACGTTTCCTTGGCTGGCCTTGAATTGCAATCCTTCTGGCACAGCCTCCTGAGAAGCTTCGGTTACAGGTGTATGCCTGTCTGGGTTTCAACATATATTGGACTTACTAGTGATTGCCTGGTGCTCCATTTCCATCCTAATTCTCTACCTTTTACTTTAAAAATCCCCTTTTGGGGGCATGAGTTAAGTAATTTGAGGCCAGCCTGGGCAACATAGACCTCATCTTATAAAAAAAAAAAA